TTCTTGTATTTAGCATGTGCATCACTATCGAAGTTGCTGATGTATCTGCAGAGATCTTTCATTCGATGCAAAATGTCACCAAAACTTCTGAGGAAGAGAGACAAAAAGAATTCAGGATGTTACACAGATTCCAAAACTAAAGTAAAGAATGCATAATTAATATGAAAAACTTAACGTTTCAGCTGAGGAAATCCCCCAGCTGCAAGTCAGTGGAGGTTGGAAACGCACGCCAGTGAAACTTCACTAAACACTCACCATGTTCCTCTTTGCTGAGGCACCTAGGGAAGGATACCCCACGGTACTACAGTTCTTATGCACAACTTTCATTTAAAAATATTTCGTTTAGAAACTAATTTGAAAGGGCTCCCTAGACCCACGTCTTTGCGTTACATTGTAGTCTTGAAAGAAAAGCTGGACTGAATTTACACAAAACATTCTAATGTTAAAATCCTTCTTCAACCCCTGTCCTTAAGAATTAAAAAGCCAAATTCTCCTTGAGAAGAAATACAGAGAAAAGTAAACATTTCTCACCTTCTTCCCTTATCCATTTGCCATTCACACCTCATTCCCACCACAGACAGTATTTTAAATAGCCTCTCCCAGGGATCCGTAATCTGCGATGATTTCTCTGTGAGACCATCTATTACGTATTTCTGAGAGCTACGCTTGCTTGGAGACATAATATCAGAGGAATCTTGTGAACCTAGGAAAACCAGCACATTTTTCTCCTCATAAAGAAATCAAACCAACTGATTTATTTTCAAGAAGGAAATATGTAAAAATGTACATTGGAGCTTTCAGGATAACTACTCTTTACTGAGAGGGCTAACAGGGAGCAAATAGGCATTTCTGCCTCCTCATACAAGAGAGCTGATAGGCTGGATAAGGAGATCTTGGACATTTTCCCGTACGTATGTTGAAGCCTCATGAGCATCATGAATAAGTAGTTGAAGCATCATGAAGTATTTTGCTATCAAAGAACTAAGAAACCTCAAATACTACTATTAATCCTTGTCTACCGGACAAATTACATAAAAACAATGCATTCTTCATTTCTGGACATCACTTCAATAATACTAAAATACCATCTAAAAAAGGTTAATTTCATAAGAATATTCTTACCTTGATACTGGCTATCCGTCTGTGTAGATCTAGTTACGTAGTTAATATAAAATTCTGCTGCTTTATTCAGGTATTTATATAACAAGCTGGCAGGAAGTCGAACATCAGGGTTGTTAATTATTAGAGGAAGAACATCACAAACTAAAAAAGAAAACAAATCAAGAAATCCTTTAGGTTTGTGGGATTTATTGCTGTATTTGTACTAAGTAAAGTTTCTCAATCAGCAATAGAAGCCTCCATCTCTGGCTGACCACACACCACAAAGGATCACAAAGAACCTCGCATGAATGTCTGCAGCATCAATTTGTACCATAAGGTCAGCCTGGCCTAATGTGGTTTGAACCTCTTCTGACTAAAAATCTTGCCATACTAAAAAGCTGTAACACAAAAACATTAATAGTTTCTTACCAAATAATTTTCTAAAACAATTCACTGGGGATTCCTGGTCTTCAATACTTTCAGCGTCCAATAATGTTTCTCCAAGGCCTACCTGTGTAAGCAGAGGTGAAAATCAAGCACTGGAACCAGAGGTTTTAGAAACTTTTGGAACGGCTGATGCAGTGACTATATCAGTAAAGATGTGCATAGACAGGTGAAAGCGATGGAGGTACCAGACCTCAAAGTTGCAGCTTGTCACCTGAGCTGTAGTAATCGACATGTTAGTGTAACTCAGTCTCGGAACTAACAGGTTTTATAGCCTTTATAGCCTTTAAAATATTTTGAAACTACCCTTAAACTGTCCTTAAATAAAGCAGGTCATCATTTAAAGACCTCCAGATGAAGTTTCATAAGTTAAAGCAAACACACGCCTTGTTAGAGTCTAGTCGCAACCTCAAGGCACTCTGCCCTCAGTGAGAGTTTACTGACAAAAAGCTGAAGCAATACTCTTTCTTAGACTATAATACTCCTCTACACTCTTTTTTTGGTGCTATTCTGCTTTTTTAAAAAGCATGGAATATTCTTTGCACTTACAAAACAAAAAAATGGTTTTATTTGCTTCCATTTGTTTTCTGCACAACTCTTTCCTGGTGGTAACCTCACAATACAGCAATCTGAACTATTAGCCACAGTTAAACATGAATAAGAAGACTCACCCTCTCACCACGCAAAGGAAAACACATTTCAGCAAAAATCTCAAGAAACAGAATGCCAAATATCCTGAAGAGTTACTATGAGCTTTGCTTCTCTTACCCCATGTTGCACCACAGTCTCTGGGAAACGTCGGAGAAGTAGTAATAGCATTTCTGCTCTTTCTAATGTGTTAAAACACTGCTCTGTGGCCTTCAGTAACATTTCACACTGGACCCGACCAGGAAGAGTTTCAAATAATCCTTAAAAAAAAAAAAAAAAGTAAACATTTATCTTGCTATGTCTGAATTGTAAACACAACTGTTAAAGGGTAAAAGACTGGTCAGCATCACATTGCCATGCAGTGAAAGAGATTTCCTTATACTTTTTTCTGCTTTTAATTTCTACGCCTGGAAATAAATGGCTGTTTCTTTCAAAGAAGAACATATGAATATATATCTGTGTTCATTCAGCTGCACAAACTTGAATTAGCAAGTAAGACTGCTAATGAGTAGAATACTGAAAATTCTAATACTAAAATACTTGACATTTTAAGATGCTTTTTCAAGAACGTTCATTTATTTTTTCACTTACATTCCACTTCTACAATTAATACTTCCGTTATTAAGAGGTAGTTTTTTTCAGTTTTAACTTCCAATGAGACACTAAAAATAAACCAACATATTCTCCCTGTAAGTTTTATGTATTCTCTCTGAAAAGTAAACATACCCATGAAAAAGCAAATGTTTCCTTAACTGGAATAGCCTGTATGCAGAGTTACACACTGCCTACCCTTAGAGCTTCTGAAGCACATATTCAAACAGCAAATTACAATTTGTCAGGTCTAAACCCTGCTTCAAAACTGCCTGTGGTCGCCAGTGGTGAATGCCAAGCCTTTCTGGTCACTGTTCATTTTCATAACCCTCACATCATACAAATTCACCTCATTTTTATGACCATTCATTGTTCTCTGCAATCAGTGATTCCTAAATCCCCTTCCAATCATTCCCTATGCAATCTCTTTTCTAAGTGCTTGTTGTTTTGGCAAACTTAGCCTACCCATATCAGAAACAAAGCAACGGGAATCAGCTTCTTATGGCCCTTTTTGTTTCCTAAGCCTAACACACTGAAGGCTGAAGTGAGCAAAACAATCTGCTGCCCTCAAGCAAATTTACAAAGACTGACATTTACTTGCCAGACTAGATAAGAAGCCAGAGGGCTTATCTTTAGATTCGTTCAGGACTCTCCCTATTCAATGAATAGAATCCTTACCTCTTAAAAATTGTGTCTGCTTGTCCTGCGAGTCATTCCTTAACGCTGATGTAATAACGCTAATCTCCCTCCATACAGCAGGTTGGTCTGGAAAATTCACAAACCTGTAATAAAGTGTTGAGGCAAGGGATCTCATAAGCTGTTTCCAAGACTAAACCTTCCTATGAAGGAACGCGCACGGGCAAGTGGAAAATAAAACCTTCCTTTTAGTGTTTATTTTTAATTAGTAAGACCTTTTCTGCTTAATTTATCCACACGGAGAACACTCGTGTTATATTGCTTACATGTCGTAGAGGAGCCTGCCCGCAGACGCCGTCCTTTCAGCATTCCTCTCGATAGTGTACATCTCATACTGCGAGAAGGAAGAGCAGAACATTAGCTTTCTTGAATACATTTATGAATCAGATCAGTCCTTCCGCTTTAAAAAACTGCCCCCAATTTGTCACAGGAGTCTGAACAGCAGAAAATGAAAGGACTGCGACATTGGCTGGAGAAATTAGGAGCTGAGTTTACGCTACCTATTCACATATTAAATTAGGAATACACTTCTCTACGATAATAGAAGTATTGTAGCATTAACATGCTGGCTTTATTTTTACACACACACAAAAAACCTTAGCGAGACTTCAAAGAGTTCTTTGACCAGGGATTGTTCCCAGTCAAATGCAACGTAAAACCTCAAGCTATTACAAAAGCCATAGGCAAGAAAAGCACTTTAAATCTCTATTAGAAATGGCTGTTTCTTGCAACAGCAAACCCAAATGTTTCGCCATGCGCCAACCCAAGAAGCAGAAAGGGACCTTCACCTCAGTTATAACAAAACCCACTACTTTCACCTCTTTCACAAAGCATAGGAGTGGCTTTTATTGCAGTGAAACACAATGAGGAGTTACAAAGTCGCCGCTTTTATTTTTAACCACCGGACACCACAGCCAGAGGCCGGGCACCACACACCAGTGCTTCCCAACACCCATCCTGCGCCTTCAGAGGGGAGCGAAACACGACAAAGAAAGCCTGCAAAAAGAGCGTTCGGCTGCAAAATACGGGTGCAAGGCCCGAGCTCGGCCGCCAGGCCCAGGCCCAGGCCCGGCCGCCATGACTAACAGAAGAAACGGCGCCGCTGCCGGGTTCCCCGTCACCACGGCAACCGGGCGCCACGCCCCTCCACCCCCATTGGCCGAACCGCTTGTCAGTCACTCCGCACCCGCCGCAAGGCCCTGTGGGGGAGCGCCGCGCCGCGCTTTACCGTTGCGCCGGCGGCGCTTACCTGTATGTTGAAGTCGGCGGGGTAGAGGCTCCGCGCCGTGATGAGCCAGGCCTTGGCCGCCCACAGGTCCCCCGGCACAAGCTCGCGGGCCCGTTTCACCAGGAACTCGCAATCCCCCTGCGCCGACATCTTGCGCCCGGGCCCGGCCCATCCGCCGGGCGGCGCGCATGCGTCCCGCCGCCCTGGGGCGGCCTCTCCCGCTCCT